GTCATCACTGATGCCTTTTTATCCACATCATTTTCCTTGCTACAAATCACAGCATCAATTGCACAAATGTGACGCGTCGAGACTTTTCCAAACACGAAAGAGGAGTAGTATGCGTATTTTAGGCGTAAAGACGGACTTAAGAGAGACTACCTGTGCAGCTTATAAGTCATACCACTTAGCGAGATTACAATGGACGTGTCCACGTGGCCAAAACTAAAGTAAAACATTACAGCAGCCTTCGACCAACCTGTTAGCGACATTTCACCACACGTTTGACCGGTAGTTTGTGAAAATTTAATCAACTATGCTTCGACATGTTTTTGTACACAATTTTTTGTCCATCCTTCATTATGGCTGGAGCAACCACATCAAGTGCATTAATTAATGAGAATTCCAAAACAACTTGTAAAATCGATACTCGACTGCTACTTATAACGCATTTAAGTAGCATGCCGTATTACTTATTTGTACATAGCAAGACTCATTTCTTATTTTATGATTCTTCCCTATTTTTTTCTTCCCCAAACAAGGCGTTTTTGAGGCTTGTTGCCAACTTAAAGTTGCCAATCATTTCTTAATCCATACGCCATTTAAAACCCACCCACGAGGTGAGTCTCGAATCCATTTTAGTTGGATTTGTGTGTAAGAACAAAAAAGGTGAGTTATAAGATGCACCTATTAACAAAGACTCGAAAAGAAGGAGGAAATTTTACTCCAGGTACGCAAATCACTCCAATACCGAACGAAAATAATTTCCCTTAATGGCGCACCATGGATGGGGAATTTAGACGAGCACTTCCAAACATTTCGGCCGCACCATCTGTTTTGACACGATAAGTGTGACTTACGTTCGTCAACAAAAAACAAATAATTTGCCCTTCAAGACCTTTTGAAGGAATTCAAAGACAGAACTGGAAGGTAAGGGAAGGAGAAAGACGAGAAGAAGAAGAAGAAGAAGAAGAAGAAGAAGAAGAAGGCGAAGAAAGCACTGCCTCCTTCACATTTAAACAAAACAAGCGTATCAATTTAAAAAGAAAAGAAGACAACACCTGTTAGTGGTGGACGAAGTTCACAGCAATTTCCAAATCACCATAAAGTGTTTACTCAAACGTGGTCAATTGTGTAATTCCTTGTCCTGTGGTTTGTGTTTGTTCACCTTTTTTCATTCTTCTTTCTCTCCCTTTGTTTTTATGCAATTCAAGTCAGTACCTTTACTTGCCAACTTGGAAGTTCACTTGTGTGACCAAGTCGAGGACATTCATAAGGCAGGCAGGCGGCGGGAGGTTGGGGGGAAGGAGTGGGGGGGGGGGAAGGGAGAGAGGGTTCACAGCACATCGTCAATCCCCAACTAACTTGAATGTACTTTTTTTTGCGTTTCGTGTGTTTTTCTTCCTTTATGATCATGAACCCAATCTTGCAAAAACTTACTTATAAAATTTCTTTATTTTTCTCTTTTTTTTTGGTAAAAAGATGCGACAATCACCAGATGATGCGGTGACTGAATTGGATGAGTTGGAGATGGATGAGGATAAGGAATTGGATGCTGAAGTGAACATCTCTGAGATGCTAGACGAAGAAGTGCCGGTGAGTTCAAGTCTCGCACTCCCTCATCTCCCCTCTCCCCATATTCTAGTAACCTAGTGACAAGTCTAGACAGATGGTAGTCTAGCTAAAAATTAATTTGACTGTAGCACCAACATCGTTCTAAATCAGGGTCATGCAGGACTCGACCTGAATCATAACAACACGCCATTGTTGTACCGTTGGTGGGCAGCTGACTGAGTGACATTGGCATGTTGGACAATCACACGCATAACATTACCTTTGGAAGTTGTCATTTTTCATTTGGATGGAGGATGGAGACGGTAACACATTTGTCGCCACCACGGTTCCTCTCTTCATTGAGGCATTTCACCTTGACAGGAGGAGGAGGAAGAAGAGGCTGAAGACGAGGAGACGGAGGGTGAGGCAATAACTCGTATTGAGGAGGAAATTAGTGAGCGTATTGAAACTGCAAATTCAAATGCAGACGAGGTGATTGAAGCCTTCACTGAAGCCAAAATTCCTCACTTCTCCATTCGTGCTGACGATCAGTTAACTCGTGTTCGTTATCGTCTTGTCAAGGTACTGAAGTGTGCCATTTGCTTGATGAAATAGAGATGAAGAATGTAGAATTTAATCAACACCTCCTCTTTATTTATTGATGGACAGAAAATTAAGAATGTCATCATCAATCGTGAGGCCATATTTGAGAGAGTGTATCCAATCACTCTTGAGGAGGGTGAAAATCTTGTGGCTAGTGGATTTAAACACCTCTCACCTTTCTCTCGTTTTTGTCCTGTCTCATGGGATCGTGTGTCGATTGCTCGTCTTCCACCTCTCAATCCCTCACCCATCCTTCGCTACTCTCGTCTGGATCCTCGACTTGTGGAGCCTCAATTGGGCGATGAAATTGCTCCAAGCATGCCAGCTAAAAAGGGCAAAAAGAGATCAGCAAATGGAGTAAAGACGTGCTGTGCGGTGTATAGGGAGTGTGTCTACTGGTTTGTCTCGGAGGCAGAGAGGAAGGTGTTCATAGCAAACCCAATTTCGGTGATTAGACGAGCTGGTGAACAAATACACACTTTAGTGCATCAACCGCTTGAAGTAGCCGTTACTGGTGGACCCACATCAGAACGCGAATTCAGTGAGTGTTGTCATTGCCTCCATCAATTCACGACTTGTGTAACACAATTTTTTCCCCTCCTTCCAGTATCAAGACGCTTTGGAACTGATCTACATGTGGCTTATGTGACTACAGCGGGAGCAATTCAATGGCTCCTCCGTTCGGTCTGTCAAAGTTGGACAACTCTAGCACGACAAATTCATGAGGTCCTCATAAGTGGAGCGGCAATATGCGACGATCTAGTGGCCAAAGCTCTTCGAGTGGCCCTCTATGCTCCTCAAATCCAGGCTAGAGGGTGAGTTGAAAGGTGCTATGGAGTAAAGACGGGAGAAAAATCACAGCTTGATGCAATGCATGCTTTAATGTGTTGTAGGTACGTCTTGGACAACTACCCCATTACGGTGGATCAGGCAAAATTTATGCATGCTGCATCAATTCGACCCTTTCTTATGCTGGAACTGCACAGTAAACATTGCAATCATCCGTAAGTCTAGGTGATACGCGATGAGGCAGGAGCATTGTTGTTTACCCCTATGATGATGACTTTCCATTGCAAAGAGGTAGAGAAATCTCAACTGCGTCTATCCTGTCGCATCAACGATGATATGTTTGAGTAAAGTGTGATAATCTTTTCCATAAATATGCATTGTCTAGTCTGACTTTGAGGGGAAAGATTGGGTCCTTCCCTCAAACAAGGCCGCTGAGGCGGAGTAAGCAATCACGTGCCAGTCCACCTAGTATCCACAGCACACACATACACACACGCACATGAACACAGCTGGAGATGGACTTTGTTATGTGCTTACGTGTGGAAGTTGACACAAGGCTTATCGTCGGTTCACCGGGTCCAACCGAAATGCGATGACGAGGATGCCACATGGGGCTACGAGAGCGCATCAACAGCTGCAAGCAGATGGCAAGTACCGGAGTAGACTGTCAAAAACTTGTTCATATAATAATTGGACTTTCTTCCACTCATCAATACTACTCACTCCCACTTCATCATGCAAAAACTTTGGCACCGGTTACCATCCCTTCGGTTCAGGGCTATCTGACATTCAGATTTGGTCAACAATGTGTGCGTGGTCCTCTGCACTCCCAAAGATGTTGTAAAAGCGGTATCATGAAGTGTTTTGCAAACAGTCGCAATCAAAATCCAAAAGGACCAAGAAAATTGCATAAGGAAAAGGTGGCTTATTTCCCTCATTTAAGTAGTATAACTTTCATTGCCAAAAAAGACTGAGTTCGTCTGACCTACTCATTGCTCTTACGATGATACTCCAACTACAATGCCGTTAGAAGCTTGAAAACAATTTTCCTCATACCTCTGGACATCATGCCAACCATCAATTTCATCTTTTCTTCACTACACTGACATTTGTATGCGTGGTTAAAAGAATTATTCTCTCCAGATGCGTCAGTAGCGCTTCCACACGTGTCTAATTCAGTAAGAAAAAAAAGAACACTAACTTTTACCTTTTTGCATATCAGATCCATTGAAGTGAGCTGGTTTGACAACTGGAACAATCAAGAGCCACCCGATTGTCCCTTCCTCAAAGTCTGGCTCAATATGAAAGCTCGACGAGGTAGAAAGTGAGTTCCAGCTGTGCTGTCTTTATACCCACTGCCATGTTCTGCATCACTGTAAAGACCGATGATGAATGGATTGGTACAATTAGATTGTCAAGAGAGAAGAGTGTAGGTAAATAGAAACTTGGCGTCTTGCCTGTCACCAGATTTGTTACGTTAGGCGGGATGTTGCCAGATTCACAGAGCTACTACTATGCATCTAGATCGGTTAGCTTTAGAAAAGGATATCAATTGCTTTGCATTCAAATGAAGAAGTCCTGTGCCTCTGTGTTGATCTTGTTGGTAAACACGGTTTTGTTGTTGTCGTTGTGATTTAATAGCGTGTTAGAGTAATATCAAGGTTGTAAATTGACTGTACCTTTCGTTTTCCTCAATCCAGCCTTGCTGCAGGTTTGAGTGGACTGGCGGATGAACTTGACGGTTTAGGAGGTGCTGGGGGAGCAGGAGGCGCAGGAGGTGCAGGAGGGGCAGGAGGGGCAGGAGGGGCAGGAGGTGCAGGAGGGGCAGGAGGTGCAGGAGGCGCCGGAGGTGCAGGAGGCGCAGGAGGCGCAGGAGGTGTAGGAGGCGCAGGAGGTGCAGGAGGTGTAGGAGGCGCAGGAGGTGCAGGACTCGATGGCGAAGGACTCGACAGAGGCGGAAGAGGAAGACGAGGAGAGGGAGAGTCTGATGAGGATGATGGTCAAGGGGGCGGCAGACGTAAAGGTGGGGCTGGGAGTGATCGTAGTGGTGCGGGTGGACGAGGTGGTGTGGGTAGCGGGCTTTCTGGAAGTGATGCCGAAGGACGGGGAAGAGGCGGCAGGAGAAGGGGCGGTGTCGATGACTCAAGTGGTTCCAGAGATGGACAGGGTAGAAGAAGAGGTAGAGGTGGAAGAGACGGTTCTGAAGGCTCCGAAGACGACTTCGATAGAGATGGATTCGGTCGCGGAGGAAGGGGAAGAGGAAGGCGAGGTGGATTTGGGCGTGATAGTGAATGGGATGGATCAGACGGTGAAGGAGGATATGGGAAAAGACGTGGAAGAGGTGGAAAGTATGGCGACGACGATGACGACTACAGTGATGGTAAAGGGGGTCGCGGTAAACGAGGCAGAGGTCGAAGAAGAGGAAGAGGATCTGGAGGCTCTTCCGATGAAAGTGATGGAGAAGGGCGACACGGCCGTGGCAGGCGTGGCAGACGTGGAAGAAGAGGAGGAAGTGACGATTCATACGATGAAGACGACAGTCATGCAGGCGGTAGGAGACGGCGTCGACGTCGAGGAGGAGCTGATGAAAGTGACGATTCTGATGGCTCCGGTCGTCATGGAAGACGACGCAGAGGTCGCCACGGTAGTAGAGATGACTCAGAAGACGAGGATGACGACTACTCTCGTTATGGCAAAGGCGGTAGAGATGGCAGGGGTGGTAGAAGCGGATACAGTGATGAAAGTGACGAAGAAGCAGAATGGAGAAGACGCCGCTATAGACGCATTGAAGATTCTCTGGAAAAGCGCTATAGCATACCCAGTGTAGAGACGGATCAATTGCCTGACGAAATTCTCAAGCATTTCGCCTATGTCGATGCTGAGTCCGAGAGACGAGATTGGTCGAAGTCGCACAGTGGAACATTGACGGATATTCCTGCTGAAGACGGCACTTTGGTTGCACTTAAAAAAGCGCTTCTCACCACTACGCATCGAATGGCGCATGTCATGGAGTATGCGGCTAATAACAAAAAAAGTAGGTCCCTGATTCGTCTCCCCTCCCCCCTACCTCAATTTTCTGTCTACGATAAACCCACGCCTTCAAGACAAATCTCTTCGTTTTAGGCAGACCAATGAGTGTGTCTGAGATGGGATTAACAATGGGACAATTTGAGAAAAAAATTGGGGAATTTGGAAACTACTGTCCAGTGCGATTTGCAGAGAATGATGAACTCTTTGATTGCCGAGAAGAGCACACAGCTCCGTTGGTGACAAGGCTTCCTGGGGCGGAGAGCTACCTTCCTAACGCTCGATACAACTCTGCTTTTGAGTCCACCTCTCTGCGATACACTGTGGACATTTCGGATGCTGACTTGCATCCTCACATTCCCACTGATTTGCGATTTGCAGTGGAATATAATGGGAAGATGTATAGAACAGCAGGACCAGAAGAACTGCGTAAATTCATGGCCAATCCAGAAAAATACCTTCCACCACAGGCATTGAAGACTCTGCCAGACGAATATGATCTTCCTAAAAGGCTCCCTGCTGGTACAATTCCTCGGGACTCCTTTCCACGGCAAATAGCTTTGCGTGGTTTCTGCCCCGTGTGCTTCCAAGAATCGGGACAGCGTTATGAAGGTCTACGAGAAGGCGATGCAATTACTTTGGCTGTCTATCGGGGGCAAATCTACGCATTTTGCTCGGAGGAGTGCCGGGATAAGTTTATGCAGTGAGTTGCCTTAATTAATTCAATTTCAAGGACAAGTTATTTGCTCAGGTAGTTTCCGAAAAAAGTTTGTTTCAGTGTTACAAAAAAGTAATGTCAATTTCAAAAACAGATAAGACTCGATTACGTCCACTATGCGTTCTATCAACCAGCACTTTTATTATTGAGGAAGCGTACTAATATATGTTTAAGGGTATTTGCCAGTCCCATATCAGACACATCATTTTCCAGTAAGCTACGTATAAATCCGTAGCTATCTTGAAGCACGCAACACGAGGTTCACTCTTGAAGACGCATTAAGACACCACCACTGGATATAAATAAAAGAAAAGCGCTATTTGATTTGAATAATCTGATCAATCTCATCTCTTTGTCCATACATTTAGTCGCCCTTGGTTGTATGGTGATCTCAAGTTGCCGAACAAATTGCCACCTATGAAGGTGTCAACTTCAGTAGACGAATTACCTCTGCCCGGTTACTTGGAACAAACAGTGGCCTACGTTCTACGCAATGCACTTGCAATGTGCTCCAAATTTAGGCCCAAATATCCTTTCCTATCTCCGGAGCGTTCAGCGCTCATTTACATGGCCTTGCAATTGAAGGGTTAGTCGCGATTTTGCATTCAAGCACGCCTCTTCCACTAATAAATAAATCACGATGGCATGAAATGATTGATTGCAGTTTCTCTTTAGGTGCAAAAGTTGGTTGGGTTTCAGAATGATAGAAGAGAACCAGAGGAAATTTGTGTGTTTAGCACAAATATAATTGGCTGAAGTAGAATTGATATGACCTTGAACCATAGCGATCCACCCAATCAGATAACGATGATTCAAAATGCGCTATTTCGCAGACTAGTCATTAAGATTCAGCTACCTTTTATTTATACTTTACCAGTGGCTTTAATAAACACCCTCTAGCTGATGTCTGCCTACTGTGGCTTTACGCAACTGTAGTAAGGTCTAAGCTGTATGCTCCTGTTTAGTCGACCACCAGGTCATCAAAATTTCATTGATTGATGCGGGACCAGTCTGTCATTGTAGAAATGTTATCCCTTCAATGTGTTGTGCCAAGTTCTGCATTTACTGATACAAAATAGCCATACAGACCTGTTGAGACCTGATCTCTCCTCCACCTAGCTTTGTGCATTTGGCAGCCACAATGAGTTTCTACAACTTTATCCATTCACGACAGACATCCCACCATTGTTTAAAAGCCCTGTCTCAGACATTTTAACTATATTCCTTTGACTTCGACAGCATTGAATCCACGCACCCCAGACTACCTTCGACTTAGAGCAAAAAATCGAGTTGAACGCTTTGAACGGACATGTCGACTGATTGACCAATTGGCAGCAATCATGCCTGTGGACTATCAAGCCGAGAGTCAGCGATCAGAAACGCTGTCTCGTCACCTACGCGAATTCCTCTCCCTCCGAGGTCAGGTGGACAACGCAGACAGGTGGATTTATTCCATTTGAAAATGAAGAAGAGGGGAAGGGAAAGAGGGTGACACGACTTCTCCCCTTTCCCCCGCCCTCATGCCTTTGTTCTAGAGAGTGTGGGTCGGTAAATTCAATGTCAAGATTGTCGACCTTCAAAACCGAGTGTACACAAATTTTGTGTAGTTAAAAGCAACTATTTTATCATTATTTCGTTCTTATTTAAAACCTTTCTGGAAAGAATATTTCACTAACACATTAAACGTCTTCGGCCATGCAGCAGTCCATGGCATAAAAGTGTAAAATATAAATGAAACGATGCAGAAAAATAATAAATCATGCCATACCGATAGGGTGACATCTTCCTTCTGCAGGTTACGGTCAATTCTTGCAGAATGAGAAGAACGACACGGAGATATCAGTTGGTAATTTAGAAAAACTGATGGGAGCGTGATACGAAGGCGTTTAGAGAGGGGAGGGAAGGGGAGAGGAGGGGAGAGGAGAGGACAAACATGTCCACAACCATGCAATTGACGGTGTTTGGTGCATGAATTGTAAATTGGCTGATCCGTAATTGCCAAGGTGGGGATCCGTCAGTTGTCACCTGTGAGTCGAGCAACAGACCTCGACCCAGTCCAGTCTACACAACTTTAATGCCAATAACAATGACAGCAAATACGTGCCTGATCTACAAAGAACTTCAAAGCTCACGAGAATAATAAAAAGGAAATTAGAGAAGGCCAAAGGAGAGAATAACAAATGCATTAATCATTATCGCAGTGGCTTTAGGACATAAAAGAAGTGAAACTACCTATTTACAATTCGTTTCTGAGGCTACGGAGAACGCAAAAAAGGGGAAGGCCAACGAGGAAGAGGAAATTGTCAAGGCATAAGAAAGCAACGCACACATACACACACACACACAAACGAAATTAATTACTATGTTACAAAAGCAAGAGAGCGCAGTTTTTGGTCATCTAACTAAAGTGCGAGAACTTTGTAGATAAATGTTTGCGCTATCTTCATCTCCTCCTCATTGCATGCGTGTCCAAGATCGGCAATTTTGTGCAACTCAGCTGAAGTGAAGTGAAAATTCCGCAATAGTGTATTTGTCAGACTACCGATAGCATAGGGCACGAGAGAATCGGCTGCGCCATGACACTGGAGGATTGGGAGACTGCGCTCTGCCTGAATTCGCTAAAAGGGAGGAAAAGAAGTTGGGAAAGGGATGCGCATATGTGCTCCATTGCTCCTCCCCTTTTCGGTTTCGGTTTGATAGAAGGTCTTGGGACGGCAGTCCGTGTTGTACAGATCTGATATTTAATAATGTGAAAGTGCTTGTCATTCCTACAGAACGACATCAATTAGGTGGAACTACAGTTACCTCTTCACGTCTCCTCGCTTTAAAAGTCAATTTTCGCACAACTAGTTGCAGGCACTAGTAACAGCGAGCATATTTCTGGCTCTACACAGGACTGAACTCCAAATTCAGTGAAAGTGCCAAGAGAAGTTAATAGCACTGAATTTTAATGGTGCTACTGCATGCTACTGCATCTGGCACAGTTGCCTCATAGGTGTTGCCATCACACTACACATTACATAAATGAAAGCCAATGTGGGTGGTGGATCAAGAAGAAGTGGTCAAGTCGACCCTCAGGAGAGAAGAGAGGTTGTGTAGTGAGGTTGAGCAATTAAGAGAACGCTTAGGTGGTCTGCCATTGCGCCTTTACTTCGCCTTCCTTCCCCTACCCTCCCCACTCCCCCCACTCTCCATCGCCATCTCACCACTGTGACCAGATGGGATGGCCTCTGAGGCGTGTCAGCTGTCGCATGGCCTGCTGCACGTCGAGACTTTACCCCCACCTCGCATACAGTCGACCTTCGCCTTCAAAGGAGGGGAGAAGGGAGGAGGTGTTAATTAAAGGCTCCAGATCACAAGCATGCAACACTACCATCATCAACTTATAATGCCTTGTAAAGACAAATGAAAATGCATTGAAGGCTTTGAAGCAGGAGGTTTTTTCTTTTGCTTTTCTGTTCGCAGCATTACCAACAAAGATGCTTCAAGGAGTGAAAAGACAGTCATTTCACCTTTACCCATTTTCTTTCCTCCTCCTCCTCCTCCCTCCCTTCACCCAATTAACAATGCAATTCGCCAGTCAAGATTACCGGGCTTCAGCGCACCTCACTCCGCCCCCGCTTCGCCACTCCACACTGAGGATTGGGTCCACCCACTCACAACGTCCTCTTAACAAAGACTTCAATTGCTCATCGTCACCTGAATGGCAGCCTATTTTTTGATTGTGAAAGGCGGTACAACACCTCGACCTTCAGTAGCCCAACATGGAGGGAGATAATAAATCCGCAATAAAAAATACCACTTTTACCACCTGGTGATTCAATTATGTGTGCACGTGAGAGACGGCATTAAACACCATCGCAAGGTCAATGGACCTTTACGACATCCCCCATTATCAACACTTGTGTGATAAGAGACAAAAAAAGATGCACCACCCAGAAGAAGCGCCTTAAACGAGGCCATCAAGAGTGCTGAAGTAGGTATGGAGAGGGGAAAGAGAGTGAGAGACATAAAAACTCAAAATTGAGTTAAGATTGCCGCATCATCAGTAGGACTAACGTTAATTGCATCAGTAAATGGCAAGTTTAGAGGTTATTGACGTGAAATTCACTAAATTTACTTTCTAATGAAGGAGACAGTTGATAGGGAACAGCAGGCATTAATCAGAAGAACACCATTCCACTTCTAGCCTCCTTGGATTCAAAAGACGTGGTCTTATCCAGTCATTCTCCACAATCTGGACTCACAATTATGAAATGTGAATGGACGTGATAAAATCAAGTTCGACGAGTTCACTGAAATTCTTTGGTTCAGTGGTAGACCCAAATCTACAACGATGACAGCACGAAAAGACTTTACCAGAACATGCCAGCTAAGTCAAATCGAAAACGATATCGCAGGACTCGGCTTTTGGAGGCGGGTGTCTAAAAGCCGACAACAAGAAGCTGACCTACGCCGAGGAGTTCCCCAGGCCCTAACAATTGAATTAACCACATCAAAAAAGATTTGTCATCAGCTGTACCGCAGTTAGGCGTCCCACTTCCTGACCAAATGGCCGCAGGGTTGAGTGTCAAGCGTCGTCAATGACGCACAGTGGTGCAGTTAGTAGTCAGCGCCTAAACATGTCATCCTGTACTTAAGGCCTTGCACAAATTTTGAGCCAACGTCCATAGACTTGGTTTAGGCCTCACAGACTAGTTCATGCACGCTGTCATTGTCACTGTTTTTCCCTGCTTCTCTAGCATAGCTTCAATTAGGCCAAAGTGACCCTCGCGATTGCATGACCTCAACTGACCCTGCGAATCGAGCACAGTGAGTGGATGTCTGTCGAAATTGGACGCCAAAAATGGTGAAACGAAGGGGTCAACCTGATGTCAGTGAAGTCGAAAGGTTACACCCTGGGGGCATGAAATAAACTGAAGGAACATGGCACAAGGAAAAGCTCTAACTCCAATCAAGGCGCCATTACTTCTGGTCTGTGATTAATGCATTGGAGAATGAAGACAAAACAAGCACAAGGCACGACTAGTCTTGCCCATTGCATTCCCAGGACAATTAAGCTTCTGTTTTTGTGCCTTTCACCTTTCAACTAGCGAAGAGGGAGGTACCTCACCTTTCAGCGGAAAAAAACATGCTACGCACCACTGCGAAGGCGTTTTAATGCAAGTCTTTGATTAAGCAAAAGCATCGTAGCAATAAAGATTACAATGATTGTAATTTGATTAGCCCTAGTAGATGCTCACCTTGAGGTTACACAGCACTATAATTCGACAATCGCTTCAGTTACATAGTAATTAGGTGAGGTTTTCAATCACTGCAGCTCCAACTCCAGTCTCGCAGATACGAAAAAATGTGTTTGTGTGGTAATTGGCAAACCGCCTTCCATAGTAGGAGGAATAAAGAACTGCGAGTGACACACACCGGTGTCTGTATTGGGAGCAATTGGAGCCGAGTGAGGAAACGCAACCTGAGAGATTGGTTTACAAACTCAAGCAGGAGGGCGATTTCAAGCCCTTTTGCGGTGATCAAATTTAGTGCTTGACCTAACCAGGCCTGGAAGGGTGCCTCAGTGTTCAAACGATCCAAGCAAATGTGATCCCTTCTTGAAAACTAACTTAACAATGCAAGTACCAAGTATATATTGGCGTTTTAAAAGCAATTCACTATTTTATTCGATGCGAATTGCCCAAATGAAAAAAAAGCAGGAAAAATGTGATGCTAATTCCCTTGGATGATTAAAACACACACCCCCATAGAAGGATTGCAAGATCCCAAGCTTCCTCCTAAGCAGACACAATAAAATAGGTGGATTTAAAAAATGCTAGAGACGGTGTCCAAACTCACAGAAGGATCAGAGGCCAGTTGCTGGGCCAAGGGTAGCCAAGAGCTGAGGACTACCACTCCAGCCAGACCACGCAGATTGGTTTCAGTGAGAGCCGTGTAGAGAGCCACACTGCCACCTTGAGAGAACCCACCTAGCACGATGTGCTCCAACGCCACTTCACCTGTCTCCACCTCCGCTTTGATGATCCGTGAAACTAAAATAGCGTTTTTCAGCGGTTTAGGATGCGGAAAAAAAAGATGCCAGGAGTGTCAAATCATATTGTGCATGCTAACAACCTTCCAAGGTCTAGGCAAACGAGGAGGCAAGCCAATACATTATTATTGCATGCCTCGTAAAGCTAGTGTACGTAAAATTAAGATTGATTGTAGAGTCGAACGAGCAACGAGAAATGAGGAATAAAATAATACGCCAAAATGTGTAATTAGAGGCTCATAGGATAAGGAATTTAAGTTAATTAAATACTCCCTTCGATTCAAAAGACAACCAAACAGCCAAAAGTTACCAACTAAATGGCATAATATTTTGACAAAGAATAACGTAACAGATCGGCGAGCCCATCTTTAATCAAGTGTTTCGATTCAATGATATTACTGGGCGAGGATAAAATAACAACCAACTGGACGAAGGCCACTAGAGAGTAGCAGTAAAGGGGGAGAATGAGGAGGAGGGGGAGAAAGTGGAGATGATCCTTTCTCTCCCTCCCATCTCTAAGTAAACTTGCCAGGAGCTAAACTTGAAGGTGGCTTAAGGTCTCATTTCCTTCCGATTGGCTGAGTAATGTTGAACACTACAAAAAATGGCTCATGCACAATGTCGAACCGTATTACATCGTATGGATAAATCCAAACACCAGATGCCTGCTCTTTAGTGAAAAATTCAGAGCAATAAAATTGAGTTCTCAGTCCTCCTCAAACATAGAGATGAAACGCAGTCATTTTAGGGATAAAGTAACGCGCATCTTCAAAGTGTGTGGAATGATTAAGTAAACGCTTGAGTACAACGACCAACACAGTTTGCTCCTAACTAATGCTGGCATAAAAGAGGCTATTTAGTATCACAAGCCAGAAAGCGAGCAAACTAACATCAATGTGCTACTAGAACACAGAAGAAATGAGCTACAAACTGAAGGCCCTGGGTTATCAGCTGATACACATGAAGTAAAATACGAAAGACCTTTCATTCTCACTTGATGTAGAGTTAAACAGGTGATTAAACCACTACTAAAAATTATTCTGAGTGCATTAGCCGCCAGGAGACCAAAGTGTCATCAGCGCTCCTCGTCATAAAAGAACGGAAGGTTCTCCTCCCTTTGCTTCGTACATCAATCCTGGATGATTCACCACTACAACCAAACCGTAGGCTTAAAGCACTCTTGATAGGCGCATTGTGACACTGCGTGGCACATCCTTCTCCAACATTGCTTGATGGATTTCAGAGAAAGATCCTGTCACTTTATTATAAGAGGAGTGAGCTGAAATAACACAAATGCTTTGCGGTAACGGAGAGATACGAAGTTGAGCAATGAAGGTTGACAGCATAATGGACCAATCCATGGATGATCTTGATGCGCATATGAAAAATCTAATACTTTGAAACTCCGCCAACTCCTTGACTAATGGCTACCAAACTAATGCTTGCTCACCTGACACTAAACTCTTACGTGCAAATAGCAAGACCAGTAATTATTGTTTACACTGTTTTGATGCTGAGGTTGGCCAGATCTTTGAACACATTACCATCTAACCATTACTCCATCCTCAAGCTCGACAATAGCAGATCCAACTGAGGATAAATTTGCATTTTAGAGGCTGGAACAATTCGCACAGATTGGAACATTTAAAAAGGCAGTAAACTTATGTGCGCCTAAAAAAAGATAAGATGATGCATAGCAAAACAGGTGAAATGTGGATAGCCAGAAAAGAGGCCCGAAATTGCAACGGTGACGAAAAATTTCTCGTTCATCAAAGTTTCTCCCCATCAATTATAAGCCTGACCATTAAACATATCCATGAGTTCTTAAAAAATGAACATTCGACATCCAACAGCAAAAAATTGAAAGAAAGTTACTTTGTTCTGCAGCCCTCACAATACCAGCCTCGTCTTGGGGCGCGTCGACCGTGAGACCATAAACGTCAAACCATGCAGGCATGACGGTATTTTGATTAACTGACACCTCGATAGGTTGTCTAAAAACATGTACAAGGCTTTCTCTTACGCATTAGGGCAGATAACTTTACAATGTGAAGGAACAATCTTCTTCAGTTGTTGACTCCAATTTCGCCTTGAAAACAGAATTACGTTACAGGAAAGGATAGGCACCCTTACCCATTATCTCCCAGCCCATGGAGAAATACCAACTAAAAGAGCAGAAAAGTAATTAATGCTTAAAAAGCCAATTTTTCCATTTATCATAATTTGTGACGAAAATGCAATACAGAAATGATGGTAAATAATCCTTATACCTTAATAACAACGTTATGCTATCAGTAAAACAAACTTTAGGCATGCAATGCAGATGGTACAAATTTTTAAGCCCTATTACACAGTATTACTTCAAAGTATAGTAAAATAGCAGTAGATCACGAGCGAATTCATAGTGACATAACAAATATAAGTAAGAGCTTACTGTTGACCTGTGCTCTGCTCGTGATTTAATAACTTCCGCGGTAATAGGTTCAACCTGGGAGTCCTTTCCATAGTGGCCGCAAAACCAATTACCCATCAGCTGGACGTGTAAACTAATAACACCTGAACGTCACCCTAGAGAATTAAAATACGCGGGTTTCATGCATACTCATTTAAATTAGACGATTATAAAACTAAAACGCTATGTCCTTTAAGCTAAACATTTTTTAACATTTGCACTTTTTTTAGACTTTTGAAAAATTTTTTAATTATGACCGTAAATTAGTGCCTTATTTCACAACACTCACGAGGCACTCCGTACTTCCTAACTGCTCCAGTGCCCTACTGAAGTATCGTCTTATAACCGCACTATACAACCCTAACCACTGCCTAGCCGACCTGACTGTAGCCGGGACGCCACCAGCATAGACTCCACGAACGCCTACTGCGCGCGTGTGCAAAACCCCAAGCACCGATAAAATCGAGTCACGACACCTATATATTCACCGTGATACCTCATCAATCTGCGTGAGGGCACTCTGAACCTTTTGCAGCACAGTCGGGTTAGTACCCTGACAAGAACTGGGCAAGTAGGGTGGAAGAATAGTCACAACACCATCGTAGAGGACAATCTTCCCATCTTCTCCTTCATTTGCGGCAAAGGGACCGAAGTAGCGAAGCACTGATTGTCGACGCAAATCCACACTGTCGAATCCGCCCACCTCCGCCTTCTCCTTCACTACTGATGCGTAAATTTCCTCCAGTCGGGATTTAATTGTCGCCGGAAGGGGTGGATAATCGGGCAACACCTAGGAAGCCAAAAACGTCAGAAAAGTGAACACAACATAGGCATAGTCAAGAGGACGCCTATAATTAAATAATAATAGGGCGAAACGGGCCCTTCTCTACCTGTTTTACCCAAATATTTTGCCTACAGTAGGAAGGCAAATGCCAAAACTTTCTGCTTCAACCTCACCACACCCCCTTGCATAAGCACAACGTTATTTAACGCCCTAAAGTTCTACCCAGTCTGTCCACCAGATGAAAGTAAGACAAACACTCACTTCGACGTTCTCGATTGACCAACCGCAAATAAAGATGATTTTCTCCTCCGGAATGGAACAGAGGACAAGATTGGAACTACTGGAATCGCCACCGCTTCCATCAGAAGCACCGCAGAGATAACCTTTGAACTCCCTTGAGTTGCAGCACCTCACTCTCACAGCGGTCCACAACGGAGGTAAACTTTCCGCATCCAAGCCCATCTCTTAGTCGAAAATAAGCAAAGGGATACAAGAATAGCCTCTCAAGTGGGCTTAAGTGATGGCCCACAGCAACTACGACCACTACGGTTAAAACTAATGCTATGTGACTTGCTGACAAGCATCGACATTACATAAGAATGGAAGAGATAAGTGAACCACCATCCGCAAAAATAGAATGCCTCGGTACACAAGCGAACGAGAAGATATATAATCCATAAACTATATTTACAAATCCGAAAAACGCAATTGATAATGATGAGCCCATTCCTTCATATGGAAAAATGATCATTCTGCATTTTGAGAGCAAGCAACTCATGCTTGAGCTCCGCCAAGAGGGTTCGTTTAGCCACACAAGCAGTCGCCACTGCAGAGAGCAGACGTTGCTGTGCCACAGGATCAAGATCACAGGCAGACTGAAAAAGGCTGAGAGATTGGTTGGCGTCCGTGGTGTTAGCGGTGGCAGGGGTTGCTTTCGCTTGAGGCGTTGGAGCCGCAGTAACAGTTGAAGAACCAGGTGTGACAGATGTAGTTCGCTGTTGTCGCGGGGAGGACCGACATAACTCCTTGGCCTCTTGAATCGAAGCTCGAAGGGAAGCGATGCGCTGCGCAAGGTTTGAGAGCACTACGCCGCTCCCCGCATCGGGAGTGTTTGAAGCTATATGAAGATTGATATAAAAACTCAATATGCGTTCGGTTCCAGTGCAGCATGTATGTGAGTTGAATGACACAAATGCGTTGCATGCATTGTGCACTACTTTGTTGAGTTCTCAGCTCCCGCAGATAGAGGCACTCTCCTTATGCCCATATCCAAAACGCAAATATATATCCAAGACGTGTCTAAGAAGTTACAGTTCTAGCTCAAGCCACTCTACGAGCGTGAAATGCATCTAAAGCAAATACAGGGGCGAAATAAGACTGAATAGTAGCCGCAAGACCCGAAAAAAA